AACTCATGCGGAAGTGGCTTCAGATTCTCAGTGCTGTGCTTTAACCCGCTGCGCCGCCAGGGAGGGCCCAGTCCTGCTATTTTAAGGTAACATTCCCCACTGATGCCCCATCAGAGGGAGGACCACCTGGTACGTGATCTAGGGGTACAGCGAGGTACACAGACGCTGCCCTTCCGCTTGCTTTTTAAGTTTTGGGGGCGGAGCTTTCAAAGGGCATGTAACCTAGTCTGCAACTCCTTGGGCAGCGGAACGCTGGCTTGGCTGTGGGAAGGGTGGGGCTTGCCAGGGCACCTCTGTCCATCAGATCTTGGGGTGCAGGGCTGTGACCCCACATGTCTACAGCTAGTTTGTATTGCACTCTCCAGTCCTGGCTATGCTTGTAGTGTCGCTGGTATCGAGTCCTCTCCTTTTTCTCAGTTCACTCAGCACTGAAATGGGGAATGAGAGCAGTTCCAAAAATTTTTTTTTTTTAAAAAGATTTATTTATTTGTCATATAGAACTGGGGTACAGGCCAGAGGTGCAGGGGCAGTGAGAGGATTCACCAGAGACAGAGCGGGGAGCAGAACAGGCAGATGGACGAAGCACACTGCTGAGGGGAGCAGCGGGCGGGTCAGGAGAGGTCTGCCGCGCTACGTGGTCCCCTCCGGGGCAGGCGGGGATCGAACTCATGCGGAAGTGGCTTTAGCTTCTCAGTGCTGTGCTTTAACCCGCTGCGCCACCAGGGAGGTTTCCAGCTCCAGAATGTTTTGCAGGGGATGTGCAGCCCCTCTCCCCCACGCACCTCAGTTATCAGATCCCGCACCCCACACCCCCAGGGGCAGTCAGTGGTGCTTTCTTCCAGAGACATTAACTCTGCAAGCACGAGCACACGCACTCTCAACCTGAACAGAGCCACATTCTGTCCAGCAGGTCGCACTGGACACTGTACCTTGGTGCTCTTTTCCCCGGTGGCTGCGCTTGGCCCACGGCATCTCTATAGACATCCGGGGCTTTCCCAGCCTTCTCCTGTTAGCAGAGTTAATCACCATAGAGAAATGTGCTCACCAACCTGGTTTGAATTATTAGCAGTGTGAACGTGGACAAATTATTTAACTTCTCTGTGCATGTATCACCAGCGAGAGTAATGGTGGCGGTCAGCTCCTCGTGCTGTGCAGACTCCACGAACACAGCCACAAGTCCCGGTCACCAGTTCCAGCTGGACACCGACAGCCAGCCTACAATTCAGCTCGTCTGACACCGACACAGTGGGGGGCCCATTCCCACAAGGCTGCGCCCTCCCCTCCCTGTGGATGCCAATCACACATCCGGGATCTTACGGATTTGTTTCTGTGTCTGACGGAATGGCCAGAGACTGGAGGGTCCAGTGGACCTCCTTGCTTTCACTGGATTTGTGAGAGCAGCTCACAGCTCTCAGAGAAACACTGTACTGTAGGCTACTGGTTTATCACAGAACGATGCCGCACAAGAACTGCCAGAGGAACAGCTTCCTGGGGCAAGGTGTGCGAAAGGGCTGAGCTTTATGCTCGCTCCAGGCAGGCGCGAAGTCTCCCCAAATGTCCACAGGTCCCGGCCCAGAAGCGCTCTGAATGCCATCCTTTGGGTGGCTCCAGAGGCTTCATTACAAGCATGATTAACTCACTGACCACTGAGTGATCGATTCAACCTGCGGCCCTTTCTACCCCAGTGGTCAAGGGGATGAGACTGAAGCCTCTGACGCTTTAATCAAGGGGTTAGTTCCCCTGGCAAGCAGCCTCTCTCCTAAGGTAAGTTCCAGAAGTCACCTTATTAACATAGCAAAAGCCTTCCCCCGCTTTCTGGTCACTTAGGGAATCCTCGCCAGCTATGAAGACCAGCTATGTATTTATTTAAATCACAGTATCCCATGTGCCATGCGCTCAACACAGTGCCCAGAGCATAACAAGCCTCACTGAAGTTTTAGGCACCGTAACGAATGCAATTAAAAGCGCATAGGCAACTTTCCATGTAAGCAGGATAAAGAGAATGTTAAACGTCTTGGCCACCGCCTTCCACAGTGGACGTACGTACTCGCTCTCCGGCCAGTGGTCAGTGTGTGTCCTTGCCCTCAAAGGGCTCACAGACTGTCAGTCCAATGGGAGGGTCAGGAAAGCGACTGGCTCTTGGTCTTGCAAACTGCTGGCTAACACGGCCAGCTCACACCCAAGCAACTGCGGCGGTCGGTTCACAGCTCTGTGCTCCAGAAAAGTCCAGCGGCAACTTGCTACATGAAACAAAGCGGACAGGAGTGTGTTCAGGTCTTCTTGGCAAGGTGGGGCGAGTCTGTCGCTTTAATTTGAGCATAGATTGAGGGGTCCGAGGATGCAGAATGGTACATGGATGACGAAGCGCTCTTCCCTTCCTGGATTTTGAAGGTCATGCTGGCGTAGGTAAGCTCATCCTCTGGGGGTGACAGCTGGGGGTGACATGCTGGCTTAGGTAAGCTCATCCTCTGGGGGTGAACAAGGACGGGAGGGTGGGGGAGTTCAATTTGGAGAATGGGGTCTCTTCAAACAACCTAACCCTTTGGCCAGAAGGACCCGTCAAAGACTCACTGGCCCGGTGGGCACAGCACAGCCCTCTTACCTTGGCTAAGTGGGGATCTGAGAGGGGTTCCAGGGCCTGGGCACTGAAGTGACCTGTGTGAGTGCAGGAAGAAGGACACATGTCACCCATGGGAATGGGGGAACCTGAACCCTCCTCTCCTTTCGATATTGGGTGAATGGGCAGAGGGGGAGCAAGGGGTGGAGATGGCAAGGGGGGCGCTGAGGAGGGCAGAGAGGACGGTAAAGCATTCGCCGCAGAGAGGGCAGACGTGGCACATTGCACCTGCCCTCCTGTCCTCCACCCGCACTTCCTGTTCTCCACGGCAGAGAAGGAAGACGACCCCCACCTCCTACAGACTCACGTTTTCTGCAGCTCCTTATGATGAGGAAGACGAGGGCCACCAGCAGCAGCGTCAGTAGGACCCCAGCAAAAAAGGCTAAGAGCAGGTGTTCTACACTGTTTGGGTCAAGAAGGGAGCAGATGATGCATCAGGGTTTGGGAGGAACTTTCCCCAAAAGAAGAGAACCACCTTGCCCCTCTGTGGGTCAAAATATTCATGGGCCCCCACGCAGCAAATGTCACCTAGAGGTTTAGGGTGTTCGTGGGTCCTTTGTGGCTAGCTGACCCCAGGTGAACAAGAACCTGCCTGACTGAAAAGCTGACCTGGGTCTGCTGCGGCTTCCGGTGCTTCTCCCCAGACCTCCTTCCACAAGTCCAAGGGTAAAGCAAGCCAACCCCAAATCAAATACCTCATAGCACAGATGAAAGGGCGGAGAGCGCCACTTACTTGGGGCGGCACTCTGGCCTCCTAGAAGTGGTCGTGTCTGGGCAGGGCGTAGAAGTAGTCACAGGGGCTGTGGTGAATTTGGGGGCTGCTGGGGTTGTGTGTGAGAAAGTGAAAAGGGTTCAGTGTAGCCACCGCTGATTAGGAATCATTCCAGCTTCCATGTCTCCCCCTCCTCACCCCCATGCCCCACCCTTTCTAAGCCACCCATGGGGCTCAGAATGGCGCTACAACTTACAAAAGGAGAGACCACTCAATTTGTAGATTCTGGATCCTTTGACATAGAAATGAGAACCGAAACTTAAAACACAAGTGTACACATGAGAGAGAGGCCAAGCGTTGTGCCCTTTGATTAAAATACCCCGCGTCTCTCCCTTAAGGATGGTGGGGCCCTGAGGTCACCATGCTCCCTCTGACTCTCAGGCAGAGTCTCTCAGGGCCAAGGAGCAGAGACCAAAGTAAAAGCCAGACCTAGTATCTCCCAAAGCCCCTGGGTCTTGGAGCAGCCACATTTTCTTGCCTGCTCATCTGCCTGCATAACAGGGCCCAGCAAGGGGCAAGGTCTTCCAGGAGCTGCATAAGTAGCTGGACAGCAGGGAGGTGGAACTTATTCTCATAAACCAGCCAGCCAGCCCATACCAAGCACAGAACCACTCTTCACTCAAATGTAGAGGGCCAGGCCTCTCTGTACCATGCTGGAACCTGATTCCTGCAGCTTCACAAATGTCCTGTTGAAGTCCAGTTTCTGGTTACTACTTTAACTGAGCAGTGAGCAGGAAAGGCGGTCTGTCTTGAACTCACCACTAGTGGTTTTAGGCTTGGAGTTGTTTCCTCCCATGTCGACTACCTCTGAGAAGAGAAAAAGGAACCTCTTAGAAAGTTTGGGAAGGAGAGGCGGTGGAGGGGCGATTCAGAGACTGGAATCCTAAGGACAGTTACAATGAGAGAGGCAAGTGGTGGGTGGACGTATTAGTGCGGTCAGTGGTCACACTGACCTCACAACTCCGAAACCAGTCCTCAGTTTCCCAGGTCCAGAAATTTGATCTTATGGGAGTTGATCGATTGCCCTAGAACTGACTCCCTGTCACCAACTCATAGGAGACTGATGTATAAACTGGAATGCAAAAAGACCCTATGGTGTTAGTGAGTGCATTCTCTTCATCAGAACACAAGGCCTGAAGCATGATGTTGCCGGCCCTCCCTGGTAGAGCAATGGGTTAAAGCGCAGCACTATGAAGATCTCCACAGCCCCTGCAGCACAAGTTCGATCCCTGGCCAGGGAGCTGACCCATGGTGCAGCAGACCTCTCCTGACCTACCCGCTGCTCCCCTCAGTAGTGGATTTCAGTAGATCTGCCTGCTCTGTTCCCCACTCTGTCTCTGGGGAATCCTCTTGCCCCCCAGCATCTCCGGCCTGTACCCCAGTTCTGTAAGTATCAATAAATCTTTAAAATTTTTTTTTTTTAAAAAGCATGCTGTTGGCTGGTGAGCACTGCATTGAAGTAAGCACAGGGCAAGAACAGGTGGTTTCAAGCTGGTGTCACTGAGGGCTGTGTAGGTCCCTCCCTCTTCCCTGGCAGAGCTGGGTGAGCTTTGACAAACTCTGGAAGGTCCTTCCTTCACACTTCAGTAAACACACATCTTTTCAAGTATGCTGTGATCCCTTATCATCTGTGCAATTATTCCATTTGTTAAATTAAGCTTTTTATATTTCCCTCCTTTTATTTATACAAAGCATAAAGTACCTACAAGCAGAAAAGCAAGATCACACAAATTTTCACTACCTGTTAATACTGCACATTTCCTTTCTGTTGTGCTCCCATGCATTTTGAATGCGTTTAGTTTTTACCTGTCCACCAGTTTTACTGAGATATAACTGACAGATACCACTGTGTTAATGGAAGGTGTGCAACATAATGACTTGACATATACATTGCAAGATGGCCACCACAATAAGTTTGGACTGTCTACCCCTCATGTAGCTGGAGTTCTTCCTGGTGATGAGATCTCCCCTCTCAGCAACTTCCAAGTATACACTGCAGCACTGTGACCTTCAGCTGCCATCTAGCAGTCATGATCTCACAGCTGGAATTCCCATCCAGTTTGCTCCCTCTTGGCTGCTGCCCAGGTTTTCTGTATTTATGGGATCAGGTTTTTCAGATTTCACATATAAGTGAGATGGTACTCTATCGGCACCAAGATTTTTCAAACTTAGTTAAGATACTTTCTTGCTTTCTGGGAAAAAATGGTTCCACTTTTATGTAAACAATACAACAAAATTTTAGGAAGCTCCAATTTTGCAGCCAGAGAAGAATTTTTGGTTCTCTTTTAACCTGCTGTATTTTATGGTGATTTGTGTAGAAGACGAATGCCATCAGTAACATATGTGTTTTCTCTGTTCGGCCCTCAAAAGTGAGGAAGTGTTCACGTTCTAAAAGCAACAGCGACACTGTTACGTGTTTTGCAGTCAGCCATTCCTTCAAGAGCGCTGCAGGATGACAGGAAGTTTCCAAACAAGAAATTTCATGAGAATTTTGAACCATGAAACAAAGTTCACCATCTACAGAGGAGCCAGCGGTGGTAATGATTTTTCGAGCACTTTTTCCTTCTTTCGAATTTGTCAGTCCACAGTACTCTCTGGAGGGTACCATCAACCCGGGTAGGTGTAGCCTCTGTTATGTTGAAATATGTTTGTACTTTCCATGGAGCTGTGCTAGACCGACAGTGGAAGAGGAGAGGATTGTTGGTTTCTGGGCCTCTCAGCCTTCCCAGCCATGGCTCTGAGCTTACAGCCATTTCAAGAAACAGAACTAAGATCTCCTTGAAAAGTGCTGGGTCATAATACGCGTTACATGTTTGAAAACTGCTGAAAGAGTAGATCTTAAAGGTCCTTGTCACACACAAAAAAGACCTGTGACTATGAATGGTGACAAGACTTATTGTGATCATTTCCCAATACATACAAAAACTGAATCATTATGTGATACAGCTGAAACGAATACAATGATATATGTAAGTTATACCTCAATTAAAAAATATACACATGCGTATTTTAAGAAGTTGAGTGGCCTCATCTTAAAAGACAAAACCATCACACGGTGCCTCAGGGAAATGGCCACTTACAGATCCCAGCCAAGAAAAACAGGACACATAATTTCCTTTAAAAAAAAAAAAAGACTCAAACATTTAACAGAAGCATGCATTAAAATAGCAACAGTGCTATATACACTTTTTCATGTTTTTTTCCCTGCCCTGAAGACTCTTACTGATTGCTATAAAGTCCACTACCAAATGCCATTATTCAAATACAATCCTTCCCTCATCAAAGAAAAAGCAAAAATGATAAACTCCCCTACAACTGAACGCCATTTGCTTTGGGTGAATAGTTGTCTCATCCAGATTAGAAGCAGGGGTAAAAGGGTTTACCTTCTTAGACAAGGTCCGGTTATGAGCTGCAAGTGTCCGGGACTGAACTTTGTTCTGACTTCCGTGCTGCTCCTGTGTTTCAGAAATGATGAAATGATTACTATCACTGTCATTACCACATGAAGCTGTGTCACGCAAATCACTTAATGAGAGCAGACTTCCTCTTTGAGACCTACACTCTCCATATTTTTTATCTTATTAGCGAATACCTTCTTTTGTATCTTCTGAAACATGAACACCGGGACGTACAGGAATAAGGCCGATGTACACGGCTGAAGTATTTCCTGAGTGTCCCTTTAGTCTCACGCCTGATATTGCGGGGGGTAGAACTACGAGTCAGCTGCGTCACCACCGACTAGCTCCTATCCTCCCAAAGAGAGGAGGTTGATAAAGAACCAAGAAAAACCAGCAGCATGAACAGCAAGTGCTAGCTGCGCAGACTGTGTGTCAAGAGGGTGGCAATGCCAAGAGAAAGCTAAGCCTGCTCATTTATTTAAATCCTTTGCTTATCATTAAAATGATATTAATACCTTGTTAATAACAAATGACTAATATGGAGTATATTAATAAATTGCACTCGCTAAATAAACACCATTGGCCACACACTGGGCCAGGTGCTGTGGGTATTTAGGTGCTGTGGGTATTTTGGTATTTGGGGAGCAAGACAGAAAAGCCTCCTGAAGCTGCCATCTATCTGAGGCCAGAAATAGGCAAGACGGGCACACCACATGGCATGGACAGAGTGAGGAGGTAGAGGGCGCAGGCTGGGAAGGCCTGCCCACAAACGGGGTCCCGGGGGGTGGGGCGGGGCTGGGGTAGGGGAGGGGTGGTAAGGAAAGGCGGCGAGAGCCTGGGTGAGGTTTCAGGCCCAGGGCAGGGCAACCGGCAGGCCAGGTCTCCTGGGGTCGCTGGCAGAGCCGGGGTAGAGCGGTGGGAAGTGCAGTGGACCTGGACGGCGGCTGGAACATGGGTGGCAGTGGGGTGGAGGGGGGCAGTGTCAGGGGGCTGTGTGAGGTCCCGGCTCAGGACTAGCTGCTGAGGTTCAAGTGAGGGATCCAGCATGGTTCATGGCTCCCAGCTGTCAGGGGTGGGAAGCAGAACACAGCTACGTGGCTGGATTTGAGTGAGACTGTGGAGGTCTTTAAATCGAACAAAGTACATATTCTAGGTATTAGTAAGGAACCGCGTGGGTTTGGGAATCAGGTCATAATATGATGAACACAGCCTTCAAGGAAGGTCATTCCATGCCGTCAAGGGACAAGCCTACAACAGTTTGGTAATGAGGTGACGACCTTTACTCAAGGGAAACAGTCCACAGACTGGGCACAAACGGAGCCCATTTACTTCTCTCAGGTACTCAAGGTCAGTAAAGACGGTAACACCCGAGCACCGTGAAATGGGTGCACCCCGTGCCTGCTACATCACAGGGCTCAGCTGACCAGCACTCACAGGACATAGCTGGCAGGGAGACTGCCTCCACCCACCACAATCCACCCATCAGCTGCAATTAGCGCGCACCATGGGGCAGGGCACAGACGTCTGGGGAAATGCTGCCTCCCAGCCCATCCTGACTTCAGTAAGCCCACCTGCCCCAGATCCCTTGGGTGCTAGGCTAAGTACTGGCTTTAAACCACGAGAGCCCGAGAGAAGTCACTGGGGCCACACAATGGAAGCACTTACTTGGGAACAGGAACCACGATTTGACCCATGACCAAGAAGCTCTCCTGAGGTGTGTCCGGCCGGGTCAGGGCCGAGGGGAGCTTTAAAGGGTCAGCCAGGGAGGCAGTGTGAGTCCGGTCCTGAAGCTCCTGTTAGGCTGATGTCCATCTGTGCGCCTGTCTCCTGGCAGAAGGCCGCAGTCACGATGGGCACGTGATCCCTCGTCATTTTTGCAGTTACCAAGTGTCTGAGTCGGGCTGTTTAATTTCCATCTGGAAGGTTCAAAGCAGCAGGTAGAGGCAGGATGGAGGCTGACTCAAAGCAAGTCCCACAATACCCTAAGCTATTGTGGGTGGAGAATGAGACAAAGAAATGACACTAGGGAGGTGTGAGCTAGATCTCACTTCATAAAGTCAGACAGGCAGGAAGCTAACACGCCGACAGGACTGTAGGTTCCAAGCTGGACATCCGAATACAGAGAAGAAATAGCATGATGAACTCAAGGATGTCAAGTCTTAACTCTCAAGGTCTGAGCGAATGCCCCGTTTTCATTCATTGCCAGCACGTGTTGAACACCTACTACGTGCCAGGTGCTATTCTAAGTTCTCAGGACAAAATGGTACTTTCAGGCTGGTAATGCACCCCTCAAAGAAAGGGGGAATTGCAGCCATTCCAAGCGCTGCAAAGGTGTGGGACCCCTCCCCCCACCCCAGGTGACCAGGGAATGCTTCCTGGAGGAAAATACGTCAACATCTGTAGTGTGTAGTAGTTCGACTGGGGCTGGGGGCAGAGGAGGGTCCATCCGAGCAAACAGAACATCCGATAGTCTGTACTAGAAAGGAGGGCAGAAAACAGACAAGCGTGATTTGCTGAAAGAGCAAGGGAATGTGATATGTGATATAACTTGGGGGTGCTAGGGTGCCATGGAAATGGCGCAGAAGAAGCTGAAGAGGTAGAAAGGGGCCCGTTCCTGTTGAGATTTGTCTTTATTATAGGAGAGCTGGGTTTATCGATAGGAAAGGTATTTAAACACGAGTAACACAATCAGACACGTTCAGAACAATCGCTGAAACTAGGGCAGGAGAGAACAGATAGGAAGGCAGCTACACAAACATAAAAAGGTTAGTTGGGACATGTGTAAAGTGATGCAGAGGGTAACAGTAACTTGAATGAGGGGGACAGCTAAAGGATGAAGAGATGTAAATAAACTTGAGGGATATCAGGACAGTGGTCGCAAAAACTCTGATCGAAGGTAGCACCAGAGAACAGGAAGCGGACCCAGGCAAGGAAACGTCAGTAGTTTCAGATTTAGCATGAGGATTAATGAATGAACCAGATGTTTACTGAGCATCTGACCCAACACTTTGCTAGGTTCTGGAGTAAATGTGCATAAGGAAATGTTGTCAGACATCTAGACAGGGTGGAAATGGGGCCCAAGAGAAGGCTACACAGTCAGGAGAGAGAGAGGCATCAAGAAAATCTTTATAGAAGTATTGCATCTTACTTAGTTTAGGTGCTTCTGCAACATTCAGTCACAGAGGTCAGGCAGGCAGTTGGGACACAGAGGTCAAGCAGGCAGTTGGGTGCATGGCCTGGGATGTGTGAGTGGGGCCTAGATTTGTGTGGGCGGACAGTACAGTTCTCAGTCGTGGTTGGCGGTGCTGGGCCACAAGTTGTGGTTGAAGCAGATCTCCTCTAACCCCTTCCGCTACAGGGTGATCTGGAGGTTTTGTGATAAGGTGAGGTTCGAAACTCTAATCTAGACCATAGAGTGATGTTTCTCTGGAGGGTCACCTAAGCCTGCAGTAGGCCCTTTATAGAATAAAGAAATGCTTCCACGGTATGCTATTGAGATTTTGGGGTCGTTTCTTTTTCTTTTTTTTTAAGATTTATTTGTACATACAGAATTGGGGTACAGGCCGGAGGCTCAGAGGCGGTGAGAGGCTTCACCAGAGACAGAGTGGGGAGCAGAACAGGCAGATCGACGAAGTACACTGCTGAGGGGAGCAGCGGGCGGGTCAGGAGAGGTCTGCCACGCCATGTGGTCACCTCCGGGGCAGGCGGGAATTGAACTCATGCGGAAGTGGCTTTAGCTTCTTAGTGCTGTGCTTTAACCCGCTGCGCCACCAGGGAGGGACGATTTTGGGGTCGTTTCTTATCTCACTTAACCAAGCTTGGCTAATGAACTGTGACCCAGAGTAGGAAGTTATCAGAGGCCATGGGGATGGGGATCATCATTCAGGTACCGTATTTAATTATAGAATGAGACTAAAAATTCCTAGGGTCGAACTCTGAGGAACACCAATATCTAGTGAGCAAAAAGAGTGGAGTCAGCTAAGGAAATTGAGAACAGTTATAGCAACAGTAGCATAAGAATTTGCTATTTGAAGCCATGGAGGAAAAGCTTTGGCCAGCGGTGCTGAGAGCTGCTGAGAGATTAACTAAAAGGAAGGCTGGGAAGAGCTGATTGGATTTGAAATGAAGCACTTGCAGCTTGTTTACTGAAGCAGCTTGCAGGTGGTGGTGGTGAGGGACTTTGGTGGGTTGAGGAGTGAATGGAAACTCTCAGACACAGGGCAGATAGGATCTTTCGCTATCTCTTATCAAAGAAAACCAACAAATTCTGGGCATAGTATCTTAAATATCATAATTTAAAAGTCATGACTGAGGTTGGCTCGCGGGGAGGAGTCTGGTAAGATGTTGGCAGCGTGACGACACCAGGCTCTCCTCCAAGTACTCACAACTGTGCTGTGGTGGAACAAAGGGTCAAACTGTGACATCCACTCCCCACCCGAGTGAAGACTGTAATGTTCTTTCAAGTTTTGGCTCTGGATGACTTTCTCTTCTGTTTACTAAAAAGAAATGCAGCGGTACTTACTACCTGCACTGGGGGCACAGCAGTGGACAGATCTCAGTGAGCTATTCCTCAGTTTTCTCGTCTTTTGCAACTTTTAATTCTTTATCTTCACAACTCCTTTCTCTCCTTCCACCCCCAAGTTGACCTGGTTTCTTCTCTCCTACCACACACTTGTCTTCCAACCTGTTCTATGTCGTCACTTATCTTCCTAGCAAACATCTTTTAAAGACACTTCACAAATAACATATAATTGGCCAGTGACTTCATGCAAGAGAAAAAAATAAGTCAAAGATTAGAAAGGAAGAGTTGAGTAAAACTGGAGCTAATATTTGCTCTGGGAATTGGCACCAGAATTTGGTTAGCTGGCACATGTTGGGTCGAGAAGTCATGCATGTTGAGTTCAGGAAACCAAGGCTAAACGCTGCCCAAAACGGGAAGTTGTTTGCGTTAGACACCCTGAAAGGGAACCCACATAGGTGAACTAAGCAAACGCCATGCCTTGGGAGAGAAATGATAGGGGTCCTTGTCACAGTTGTCTCCTATTGCTGCAGTCACAAATGACATCAATTATAGAGGCTTATCGCAGCTACATTTATTCAGTCTGGTGCACAGGATTCCTTGCTTTAGGGTCTCTCCAGACTGCAGTTTAGCTATTGAGTGGGACTGTGGTATGAGGCTCAAACTCCCTGTAATTACTGGATGAATCCGTAACCTGTGGTTCTGTCACTGAGGGTCCCAGCTTCTTACCAGGAATCTGTCCTCAGGTCCTGCAAGTGGCCTGCCATTCCCTGCCGTGGCCCTCGCCACTGGCAGTTCCCAACATGGCAGTTTGCTTCAAGGGCAGCAGCAGGTGATACTACCTAGGTAAAAGAAAATGCAAGCAGGACGTTGCCCTCATCTGTTAGAACTGACTAAACCAGGGACTGGTGAGCCCTGCCCAAGTCACTGGCCCATTAAACTGACCATGAGGTGCCACGATGGTGTGAGACCTGACTAATGATTAGCTCATTATAATTTCCTGGAGGGAGAAAGCAGAGAGCTGCAAGTGCAGCTGGAATATAACCCATCCACACATGCCCAGTATGGCCCAACCCAGAACACCTGTGGCACTGCTCTCCTCACCCCCACCCTGTGGACTTGTCCTTAAACATCTCCCAGTCAGGTTATTGCCCCTTTCCCCAACTGGCTCCCTCATGCATGCACCTCTAACAAAGCCTTGCTGGCTCAGTGACAACTAGTGCCCTCTGATGAGTTCTTTCACTAAGGGGCAAAGGGCCTGGTCTGGGGTTGAGGCAGTGACCAACAGTCTTTGCAGTATGCTGTGATGGAGTCTTACACTACCTATGTAGTGACGGAGGGCCAATCTCATCAACTTCACCTCATGAAGTAATCTGGTCAAGGGAGAGGCAACACACCACCTTTGCTATATTCTATCGATTAGATGCAAGTCTAGATTCCTGCTGAGCTTAGGGAAGGTTATATTGGAACACAAACACTATGTATTTTACTGAATTCTGCCTTTCCATTACACTTGCTTATTCCAATTTTGTGTCCAGGTAGTGGAAGACAGAGAAAACAAAACAATTTTTCCTTAGGACTTCCTAACCACAAACCTGCTATCTTCAAGGAACAGGGCGGGGCTGGTGAGATAACCTAAAATGCTTGCTGTCACACTTCCCTAGCACTCTGCGCTAGAATCCATACCATATAGTACATTCTTGTTGCTTTTCTGTTTTTTACTGAGCCAAGTTCTATTATTTCCGTGTGACTGGTGCAGGGTGGTTGTGAGCAAAAACTAGTGTGTTGATAATTTTTGTTAAATGTGTATTTGGAACATTTCTGCTGACCCAATCAAAGTCTCTTTAAGCAGCACCAAGAGATGTTAATCTCTTCCTACATTAGAAGATTAAGAACTAAAACAGAAAAAGAAAAAAAGATTAACCACCATTGAGAAATACAAATCCAGTGACTGTTAATAAAATCTTGAAAAGTATATAGAAGTTAATAACTACCCACGGGGCACACACTTTCAATTATTTCCTGTATGTCAAGGTGTCCATTTGTCATGGTATTATTAAAAATTGAAAAACTAAGCTCTAAGCCCCCACTCCTTGCCCAACAGTAGTCTGGGAGACTTGCGGGGAAAAGGGAGCGACCGGGCTGCCATGGACCAGGCGCTTCATGCTGACGACCCGCCCGTCAGGCAGGCCACACCCAAGACTAGTCACCCTAACTCAGCAGCTGCTGGGGACCCTCACTCTGCTCCGCAGCCCTCTCCTGTCTGGCCCGCTACTTCTCTCATCAGTGCACTTCAGTAAATCCATCTTTGCTGTTTCCTGCTGTCTCCATGCTTTCAGCCTGCACCTCGGCCTGATGGCGATGTTCTCCCCACAACACATGTATTTATAATTAAATTCTTATACAAGGATGGGAGAATCAAATTCAGGAAAAACAAAGGGCAGAATTTTCTGATTTGTCTGCTGAATTCTTAATGATTTTATGGCACACTGAGTATAAGATTATAACATACAAAGTGACAGTCAATTACACGGCAATATCCAGTATCACTTTCAGATACTTCAATACTAAAATCTTTAAATTCCCTAATGCCAAAAATGGCTCACTACTGAGTGGTCTTATAAACAAGATAGCAATCTGATGACATTTTAACTTTTACCCTCCTGAGAAATGTACAGTATGTCAGAAAACTATACAACTTGAAAAGCCCTGTTTTAACTGTCACTTTATTGAAAGATGGTAGAATTACAGAGTTAAACTAGGATGTGGTGATCTTTACTCAGGTACCAAATTTTATTAAAAAGCAAACTGCTCATTCAAAAGTAATCATGGAACAATCCAAAATGCAGAGCAAGGATGAGAAACATCTCAGGCCAACAGATTACTTTAATTCTCTCACTATGTGGTACTGAAGAACGTTTTCATTTTTAAGGAAAGAGCAGCTGTAACTTCAGCAGTCAGCAATACAGAGATTCTGTCACACAGACCCGCTCCCATTCAGTCAGTGTTTCTGTCTCCATCGGGAGAGACGCATTTACAGAACTGGCTGTGCTTGAGCCTTCTTTGCCAGAAGCTTTAAATCTGCAATGCACTTGGCAATGGTCTCCTTTTCCTGTGATAAAGAAAGGAATCTGGTCAGACCTCTTCAAATCATGGAAGGGCACAGACACAGTCAATGTAAAGGACACCTCCTGCAAGCACAGAACCTCAAGAAGAATTACTGGCTTAAAATGACAGACTAAGCAGGGAGGTTTAGAAGTAAAACTGATTATTTGACATAGGGGTAATACAATTTATTTTAAGCAAATCCAGGGAATTAGTAAAAGCCCCCAGGGCATAGCTTTTATGAGTGAAATGTGCCTGGAGTCTGAAGCTAAATACACCAACCATTAATGTTAGCTGAGACAACTAATAACTATGAAAAAGACCAACTTAGGAAACAGTAGTAGAGGTACGTTAAGAATAAAAATAAGTTTTTAGTCTCTTCTCAATACTTATTTCCCAAGTTTCTTAAATAAGTCTATTATTTTTATGTAAAAGAGAAATGAAAAAAAAAAAAAAATCCACCAGATGTTTGTAGACCGTTTTTTGAGTTCTAATGGGTAAGCAGAAAGTGACCAGAAATACCTAAATATACTATGTATCTGGAAAAGTAGAAATCATTATAAGTAAATAAAGAATACAACTTTAAAGAGTTTAGGTGAACAATGGAAAACATCTTCCTATTCAAGACAAAGGAATTAAGCAGCTCGCAAAAGGAAATGGAATGAAAATCACTGAATTAGAAAATTCAGGCGTTGTCTGGTTTCTGTTTCAGACAAACTCGGTATGCTGGTAAACTGCCCAAATGATGGAACTTGAACAACAGTCTGCAACCAGTATCCTCACTCATCTTCCCAGCGCCTCTGCAGTGAGAACTGTGCCAGGTCTGTCTGTGAGGTGAGCAAACTGAGGCGGGTACACCACGGCAGATTCGCAGCGTCTCGTGTTGCCACCACCCAGAAAAATGAACCAAGGACACGTCACTGTCTCAAGGCCAAAGGCTCCTTGCGGGCAAATCCTATCCTGACAGCACAGACAGCTGTTCCTCAAGAACATCAGCCCAACTCCAGAAGCTTCGACACATCGGATACCTGCTGTGCAGAGATGCTCTGCACCACGTGCTTCTCCACCCAGTTTATCATGTGCTCCTGCTCCTTCCGAAGCATCATATTCTGCACAGAGATGTGGTAGTCCAGGCGGTTCTTCACCTCCTTGTACACTTTATGCAGCCGGTCCCGGTAAGTGACTTCCAAGGCCATAGCGATGTTATTCTGCAGCAACAGTAAGCCGGGATGAAAAGTGCCCACAGGTGGAAGATCCCACTCCTTCACCACTCTGGTATCGTATGCAATGTTAAAAACGCACCATGAATAGGTAACACATGCATATTGAAAAAGAATCCTGATATATGTGGTAAGAATGTACTTAAAGTATGTAATGAAAAATAAATCTCCTGGCTTACTGAATTTATTGTTTTAAGTTATGTTTATACTCATAGGTTTTCTAGGTATATAGTCAGGGAATCTATAGTCTTTCTAGGTATATAAACAGGTCACTTCACCCTTTGTTTTCTCATTTTTAGGTCTCTTATTTCTGTCCCTTTTCTAGTACCAGCTAATATTCTCCGGAATACTAAATAACTAGCGGCATCTTCAGTCTGGTGAGAAACGTTATTGGTGTTTCTGTTAACTATAAAAGTCTGAGCTAATAACCGAAAGTACACCCTTAGTACTTCTAGGTACTTTCTGGAGTTCATTTGTTGTTCTGCTTCTTTCGCATAGTGTCTCTATTATCTCCTTAATTATGCACGCTCAGCAAATGCTCCTAATGCTGTTTCACTGGAAAAAAGGAAGCAGAAGAGCTCTTCGACCACTCCAGCCCAGCTGCCTCCACACTTCGCCTTCCTTTCGAACGATGGCCTTTGGCCTACTGACGGACAGCGCTCCCATTCCACGTAACCATTTTTCTCTCTCTACTCACTTCTCAAATGGTAACATGTGATCACACTTTCCATCTTGAAAAATAAAATCTTTTGATTCCTACATTCTACCTTTCTAGTTGTTAATTATGTGCTGACCATTAGAGTGAAACTTGTTGACGTATTAAACAGTTGTCTATCATCGGACTCCAATTTTCTTTCTTCCATCTTTTCTTCGACCTACTCCAATCAGTTCACTAAAATAGCCCTTAAAATGTCACCAGGAAGTCTCCGTTCTGCAAAATCCTATGAAAACTTCTTAGGCCCTTTATTACTTAATTGTTAAGTAAGGCGATCACAAGCTGAAATGGTTGTTGTTTCCAAGCCATGTTCCCGATGTGCCCTTTTTATTGCTGTGTTACCAACAAGCTCATGACTTCCCTAAGTCTAGGCCAGAGTTCTCCCCATCAACTCTAGACCCATTTACCCAATGGCCTATTCAGCATTTCTATCTGGCTAACAAATGGGCATCTCAAAGCAAAGCACACGAGAGCAGAGGCTGCCTGCAGCAAGTCCGGGGAGATCACGCCGCCCCACTGCTCAAAAAGCTCAGTGCCTTCTGCTCCCATTTCCTGATCAGCTCTAAGTTGATGACTCTTTTCCTTTTGTGTGGTTCCAAAGTGGGTTCCTTTGTGACTTACACCATTTCTCATTTTAGACATTGTAATTATTTATTCACTTACTGGTCTCAAATGTCTAAATAGTCATAATTACCAACTCCCAGCCACATTTTCTTTTCAAAATAATGTTCAATCTATTCAACTGTATCTCATCCAAGAGCCCAAATTTTTGTTTCTGAGGCACCCAGTGAGTGATTTTTCTCCTTAGAGAGTTTTGAAACCTACCCTCTGGACATCAAAAAGGTAATGGCGCTTTTGGACCAGGGCCTGCTGGGACTTCTCCATCTCAATGGCATCCTGGATTTGCTTGATGGAAGCCTGTTTCACCTCCTCCAATTGGGCAATTTTTTGCTGCAATTATGATATTTACCATAAAGATCAGTGAAGGCATTAAGGTTAATAAAATTTATTTTATGCTAACTCAAAAGCTCCCACAAGAAAACACACATATCTAAGGAGAAATGCAACTGCACAAACCTTTAAAAAAGAATTGCCTATAGTAACTAAGCTGTAGCTGTTTAATGAGCAAAGTTAGAGAAAAACTGGAGAAAGTCTGCTAGATTTTTAAAACTTTATCCCAATTAGTAACTAATATTAACACAACTGTAATCTTCATACTTACATTCGCTCTGTATGCTACTCCCCCAACACTCATATATATCACTTGGTGGCCCTGACACTTCAATTAAGGTCTAAAACGGGATATAAGGATTATGGTTCTTACCTCATTGAGCTTATCAGCAAATTCCCCAATAGAAGCACCGTATTTTTTAACCATAAAGACAAGCAACCCTATTGTTGATATGGCAGAGAAGGTGTCTGGGGTCACCACATATATTTCCTTGGACAGAAAATACAAGATCAGTCCAGTTCCAAGCACATAGGGTCCTAAAAGCAGAAAGAGTTGTTTTATGATGGATCTGGTATGTCTAAAAGGAAAAGGTACTTCTTTCTTTGATTAGTTGAAGGCAGAATTACATAACTAAAAATCATCAGATTCACACAACACCAAGTAGAGAAGCATTGTAGAAGAGTGAAAAAGAACGACAAAGTCTGACTCTGACTCTGCATCCTCAAAGAAGCTGAGCACGTACATAACTAGCTTGGTTTCTTCATCTGTAAATGGGAACAGTCCATTCTCTTCTCTTAAGGGTTGGTGACATTGAAATGCGCGCGCACGCGTATGCCTGGCACAACTGCTCAACCAACAGGAACAATTCTACAAAGGTGCCGTGTTACTTCCTAAGTAATTTGTACAAAACATACTACTTATTGAATGGGAACATCAAAGTGAAACTGCTCTACTCTTATTTTTATTGAATAAGAACTTGCACAACTGTGAAGCAGCATGTATATGAAAGGAAGGATTAAATATCAGATTTTATATTTTCTGTTGTAACTATTTGTAAGGTTATCTTTTGAATCTTTCTTCAGGCAGAGTTCTGAAAGGACACAAACCATCACTTCTATCTTTAAGGATTTTTCTCTGGGAAATCAAAGATAGTAGGCAGGGAAAAAGCAGGCACTGGGCCTCCCTGATGGCCTAGGGGGTTAAGTCTCAGCACTATCACCACTACAGCCTGAGTTCCATCCCCGGCCAGGGAGCTCTCCCACATGGCGCAGCAGACCGCTCCTGTCTTGCCTGCTGCTCCCCTCAGCAGTGTACTACATCCGTCGGCCTGTTCTGCTCCCCACTCTGTCTCTGTGAGTCCTCTCACTCCTTGCACTTCTGGCCCACACCCATTCTTCTATGTAAAAATTAAAATTAAAAAAAAAGGCCTTTAAGACAGTATTTTCCAGTGTTTCTCAGCAATTCTAGCACCAAAGGATGTTAGGATGTATTGTAGAATAAGAGGGCTAGATTCTCAAGTACATTTTCCCCAGACTCCCGCAGTTTCAAAAGTTTTTTTTTAAATTTCCCTCCAAATATACAAATTTTAAATGTGATTAAAAAAGTTTTTTTTAATCATTTCTTTTTCACCCATTTTTATCACCTATGGAGATCTGAGAAAAACTCCACTTCTTACAACTTCGTGTAGGCAAATACTACTTTAGGGTTAGGAAAAACTTTAGTGACTTCCAATGTTCCATGGGAGTTGGGTCTCACGAAAAGGCGGTACGAGCAGTAGAAAGAACATTAGATGTAACCAGAGGCGTAGGTTCCAGTCGCACTCAGTCACCAAGGAGAGAATAAATTTCAGCAAGTGCTTTGTCTCCCAGTTCTCCTGGGTAATAAAAATATCTCCTGGGCTCAATTTAACAATTAAGTAACATAAATGAAAACCTAACACATTGTAAAAATATAAGGTTCCAGAACAGCTTAGAACTCTTTAGAAGGAGGAGAATTGATAAATATGGCCCAATTCCTTTCTGTACTCATATGCATCATGTAATAGTACACTGCCTTTGCTGGCTTTAATTCACAGATCTTCTCATATACGGACAATATATATGACACAGTTACTTATTTCTTTGTTGTTTATTCTATGTAGTAATTCTACAGTTACACCTCAGTTCACCATTCTAGGTCCCCAACAGTGCATTGCCCCTAATTCAGTAATTCTGGTCTATCAACAAGTGGAGGCAATGCAGTAAAAACTCAAGTTTAAAATTCCAAGCAAACTTACGTAAGACAAATGAGAGGATTCAAATCAACTGTTACATTGCCTCTTGCCCAGCATTCTTTTAAAAACAGTTGACCTGGTATATACGGCATACATGAAGAGGTGAGAGGTTCCTAAAACCCTCGGTTAACACAAACCATACCACCCAAACACACTACCTAACACTGCGCAAATACTCACCGGTTATTCCGGTTTTAGGGTAAAGGAACTGGAAGAATTCCTCAGGGATCAGTCCCAGACGAACCTTTCCTCCATATTCAGGAAGAGGTGGGACAGGCGCAAGACTTGGCTGCCCTGTGTGAAAGATTCTCGTTGCCTGCAATGCCCTATAGGGAGCAATTTCACAAATGTAAAGCCTGTTCTTTAAAGAGAAAACAATATAGGAACAATCAGCAGAAACAACTACCTGGGGTGAAGAATGAGATGATTTCTGATGGACAGTACAGATGGGAACAGGCGGGTCAGGGCCCAAGAACAGAGTGTGACAAGAACAAATGACTTACGTAGAAGGTATGAAACCCTCCACTCAAGTGCTACAACCCTTCTAAAAGCCTCATAGGGCATCTGTCTAGCACCCTCTATGTCTATTATTAGCGCAAATAATTAAGAACAGACTCTGCAACCAGACATCTGGTTCAAATCCCTGACTTGCCATTTTAACTTAAGCTTCTGTAATCTCAGATGTCTCTAAATAAAATGGGGATACTATCACTTTGTGGGGCTGTCTGTATTTGAATATGTACATAATGAAGAGAAAGGTGCTTTGCAGGAAAAAGTCCTGTGTAAACGGCCAGTACAACATGCCCACTATGTTGTGTGCACCTCGCTGGTAAGAACTTTGACCCTTCTGAATGTTCTCTGTGATGCAGGGCTAAAACTGCAACATGAAACAGGCCGCTACAGTGCTGAGTAGCTCTAATGCTCATCTTTGACTGAAATGCTGCTAGGCACATCCTCAAAGCAACTGGCCCTAGTTTTATTTGAATTTTCAACATACCATTCATATTTCATGTGTCTGGGTTAAATATTTCAATTTGACCCACAATCCTGACTGTCCACCACAATAAGCTCTGCTTTTGCAAAAAAAAAGAAATGAGGTTTATAGAAGTGAATGTTCTAAATCTTGAGATGAACACATCCTGTCTAAATAAATATTGAGAACCAGCCATTACCATTATTAGTCTTGAACTACTGTGCTATTACTGTGGACTTATTAACCATTCTTGTTTTGAAGTAGCCTACGATTGCATTTTCAGCAGTTAGCGTACACTGGTATCTTATTAAACTTCTGATAAAACTCCCGAGTTTTTTTCATATCTGCTGTCAAATTAGTCTTCAAATTCTCAGTCTGTTTTTACCCCCAACTGCCTACCCTTGCAATGTATGAATTTCTATTTCATTGATTTTGGCTCATTGTTTATGTTGGTATTATTTCTGTCTTCCCAAATGTTAGCGACTCCTCTACCTCCTTGAAATGTGAGTCATCTTCATTAACATTTTAGGCTATGAACAACTCATGGCTGTGGAAGGCTATTTTGTCTTGCAGAGTGACTAGTGGTGCCCCTGCGACGATCTTTACGCACCGAATGCCGGCAGCATGTCCCCTCCCACCAGTGGTGAGGGCCAAAAACGTCTTTAGACTTGCCAAGTGCACCGTAGAGGACAAAACTGTCCAGGTTGAAACCACTGATTTAATCCACAGCATTAGAGAACCTGCTTTATTTAGGCAGACACAAATCCTCCCCCCTTTGGCTGTCTCAGTTTAAGTTCTTATCCTTTCTTGCCTCAACTAGTTAATAATCCAAAATCTGGTCTCTGCTTCTCTTCAAATACCACTTAAACCCAGATACCTCCACACTGCAGCCAAAGGCAGATTTCATTTTAACACGCTTCAAGAGGCTCTATTCTGTCTACAGAACACAAACTAGTTAATACATGATCCAGCACCTGTCAGATTTGATAACCATAGCCTCCTCCATTCTCCTCTAACCATAAGAAACTACGTACAAAACCAACCAATCAAAAACCAACCAATCAAAAACAAGCCTCATGCTGCTCCTTCTTCCTCCTTTCACTCAATGACTGTCAAGCCCAACAGCCGACAGAACATCTCAAGCATAACTTTACTTATAAAGGCTTCTCCAACCTTGAGGTAACATTGATCCAAAACTTTCTACTTAAGTCAGGCACTGGAAGCTGAGCAATGAGCAGACAAGGTCCCAGCCTTTAATATAATGGAAGTGTGGGGATATTATATCCATACACAATTTCAGGTAACTACAATTTCAGGTAACTACATTATGAAGAAAAATAGAGCAAGTAAGGGGACGGGGAGCAAAGGATTTGGGGGCTGGCTTAGTTGGTAGAAGCCAGGTAAATCTGAGCCAATGACCTACAGAAAAGCAACAAAGACCCTAACGATAGGTTGGTGGTTTTCAGAAGCAGCAGTTAGACGAGTTTAGCTGGAGAATGAGCTAAAAAAAAAGGATGGGAGAGACAAGTCAAGCGACAGGATGCGATCAACTGATGTTGGGTTTTCTGAGTTGTAGTTAAGTTTGTATTTTATTTTAAGCATGCTGGGGGGACTCTGAAGGGCTTTAGGGGACCCACAACATCCCTCTGGCTTCTCTGAGAGTGGGCTATAATGGGAAAAGACAGAGATGCAAGAAGACTCAGTAACATGCTACTGAATAGGTAAAAACTGGTGGTGGTTCACATTCCAGTATTAAGTGGGAGAAATGGTCAAATCCAACTATCATGTAAAGAGACTTGTTACATTAGTTATCAAATGTGAAAAAATAAAGGGCGTTTTCTAAATCTCCCATATCGTTATTGTATATACGGACTGGATTATTTGTTTACCCATCTGCATGGTATTTTCTTTCCCTTCTAAATCAGAAATAGCCAATGACAGCCTCACTTTATTGCATGCACAAAAATTAATGACAGGTTAAAGTCACTATTCAAAGCATAAGTTAGTAATCAAAGTTTGCTAGATTTAGCCTAAGGATAAAAATACAAAGGAGTAATCCTAAAGAATCCTAAAGAAAATGGATAAACTTGATGAAGTAATATCAGCTGCTAACATTTACTGCAAACTATGTGTCAAGCTCTGTATGTAGCAAACGAAGCCTGTAATGTTCATAACCCAAAAGTGCTATTAATGTCCATTTTGCAGATGAGGAAAGTGAGGTGACCGCGGTGTGCTGAGCCAACCAGGCGTGCCTTGCTCTTCTCAACCCTGACGCCCTCCCTCTAAGGTTCCTCCTGTGGCCGCTACTTAGCCCGACTCATTTTTGTACCTTTGGTTATGTGAAAGAGACAGGACAAATAGTTACCAAATCGAATAGTTTCTCTAAAGTGGGTATTCTGGCAGTGAAAGTCACACTCTGGGAGACAGACTGAAAAACGACATGCTTTGTCGTTGTACTAACAAAACTTGTGGGGAGAGGCTGGGGCCGCTGTGCTCAGCTGAAGGTCACCAGGGAGAGGGGAGGGGCTTAGAAGACACCACCCCCAGTTCCCAGCTCAGTGAGAACACATCACTTATCCCCTTGATTTTGTCTCTGGGTGATAAGAACGCGGTACCAGGTTGGCAGTGACAGAACTCAAAAGTGTGCAATGAGGCTTTAAGCGTCTCAAAATGAAAGAAAGGTCACTGCAGGCCTAAAGCTAAGCGGAGTTCCGAAGAGGTGAGGTCAAGCGACAGAACACTGACGGGGGCGTACAGCGCCCCTCACTTACCCCGGAGCGAGAAGGGCTGCGCTCTTCAGAGAGGGGGCTGCAAACGTACAAAGGCGCTGGTCAGCAAGGTCAAGGTGAAACGCGCTGTCCCTTCCACGCCCCCGCGGCGTCTGAGCGCTAGGACCACGCACCCGCAGGGGCTGATCACGAGGACCTTGCACTCGCGTCCCCCGAGACCCCGCACACTTTCGGGGCCGCGCGGCTGCTCACTCAGGCCCCGGCTCGAGGCGTCTTTCCTCCACCCCCTCCTCCCGCCGGCTCCCCGCACCCCTATACGCGCTTTTTCCTATTCACTCCGACTGCCCGGGCTAGAATCTACACCTCTTACCCGCTGCAGCGGCGGCAGAAAGTACGACCCGGGACAGCATGGTCAGCGAGGGAGCAGGCAAGTCTTGGCGTCCCGGTGACCCCCAACCAGAGAGACTGTCAGGGGCAGGAGCAAGATGGTCGCTCGGAAGTCTCGCGAGAAGACCACGCAGTGCTCTCTGTCCACCAACTTCGACTCGGTGTTTTTATTCTCGCGAGAAGAGGCGCAGCGCCCTGAGAACCTACGACCCGAGAGCAGCAGCCGGGAAGCGGAATGGAGCCGTAGGCGCGGTCTCGCGAGATGTGGCGTGTCCAGCTTACGGAGAGGGGCGGAGGCGGAGAGGGAACCACGTGGGGGTTATTGCGCGGCCTGAATCTCGGCGCCTGGTTAGGGTCTGGATTGGAATTGAAACCGTGGAGATGCGGAAAGAAACCCCAGCTCCCCTAGTGGCCCCGCCGGCCCGGGAGTGGAACCTGCCCCCGAATGCGCCCGCCTGTATGGAGCGACAGTTGGAGGCTGCGCGGTACCGGTCGGGTGAGCTGAGATCCGGACCTGGGAGCCCCTCACCCCGGCCCGGGGCGCCCCCCCGGGGACTGATCCTCCCAGCCCGCCCCTTCCCCGCTGCCAGCCTGCCCCTGCCTCGCGCTCCGATCTCCGTCCCCAACCCTGCCCGGTGTTCCTGAGCTCCGATCCAGACCCAGACCCGGTCCGCGTGCTGTACCGAGCGGTCGTCATGGAGACGAGCCCTTTCACTTCTCGTGCTGACAGCTTCTACCTCTCTTAGATGGGGCGCTGCTGCTCGGGGCCTCCAGCCTGAGTGGCCGCTGCTGGGCTGGCTCCCTTTGGCTTTTCAAGGACCCTTGTGCTGCCCCCAACGAAGGTTTCTGCTCCGCTGGCGTTCAGACGGAGGCCGGAGTGGCAGCCCTCACTTGGGTGGGGGACAAAGGTATCCTGGTGGCTTCCGACTCAGGTGAGTGGGATGGAGGCTGGGGGACAGGTCGGGCCAGAGTCCATTTTTAATGCCCCTGCCATACTCAGTGCTTGGGGGAGCTCGAGGGTATTAGCGCAGATGAACGCCCCTTTGCAGGAGGGAAATACCTTTTCTTAGATTCTAAATTGCCCTGGTGGGAATATCTGGCAATGTTCACGACAAAACTGAAAAGTGGAGTGGAACCCGTTTCCTCTCTGTAACCTTTCCTGTATCCCCCAACCAGTCGAAAGATACTCTCGATCTTAAAGGTGATGATGAAGCTTGTCTGTGCTGTCTCTTTCCATGTTTTTCCATCTTAAATGGTTTTATTCTGCTTTGTTTTGTTTTGAGCATTGGGTTCAGCAGTGGTTTCACCTTTAGCCTAAAATAAATCAGAATTGGCAGTAGGGGGTGGAGTCCAGAAAACTACAGAGTTCCTTTAGGTCCTCCTTAGGGCGCTGAAGATAATATATGCAAGTGGCACTGAAGATTAAGTTGAGCTTGAAACATTACACACTCAAGACAGCTGGAGGGGGAGGGTTTCTGTACTTAGGCAATGATCTGGTTTTGTACTCCAGATCATTCAGTTATTCAGCAGTATTAAATAAGAACTTTGTAACATTTTTTCAATCCTCTAAATAATTGGCGGTGTTCAGCCACATTGGGCTGTGTGCTATACAGGCAATTGTGGAACTGTCATCTTTTCTTCTAGGGACTTAGGTTCCAAAGTTTTCTCACTAGAAGTAGGATAGTGGATTTTACAAGCTGGATCACCTTGCTTTGTCTTTCTTGAAGCTTTCCTCACCTAATTGTAATGCCAGCATAAAGCAAATGGCCTGAGCGTTAAACAAACCCTCTGATGACACGGACTTGCTTTTGTCGGAATCCTGGCGATTTTTCTGAACCTTTGCTGCTGCTTCTTTAGTCACAGTGCGACAGTAGACAGCTCGAATCATCCAAGTGAACTACTGTCTTGTTATAATCCAAGTAGATTCCCCTTACTTTCCATCACACCCCAACAGGTGCTGTTGAATTGTGGGAGCTGGATGAAAATGAGACCCTCATTGTGAGCAAGTTCTGCAAGTACGAGCATGACGACATCGTGTCTGCAGTCAGCGCCCTGAGCTCCGGCACGCAAGCTGTCAGCGGCAGCAAAGACTTCTGGTGGGTCCCTGTTCTGACCGTTCCTGTCTCTAGGTCTCCTTTTCGTGTCTTTACTACTCGATTAGCCTCACTTACTAATGTTTTGGAACCCACTTCCTAATTACAATATGTTTGTAAGGTTTCCTAGAGGTTGTGCAGTGTCCTGTGTAAATAGATCATAGCAGAAGCTCATAGCAGAGGCATAGAACATGCTGTTTCCAGGAAGGTCTTGTCTGAACACGTGTGTTTGTGTGGACGGTGTACATCAAACGTAAGCATTTGTTTCCTTTCACTTTTAGCATCAAAGTCTGGGACCTTGCTCAGCAGATGGTACTGAATTCATACCGGGGTGAGTGCTTGCGTTTTCTTCGTCAGTCCTGGCCTTCATGGTTTTACTTTTATTCTTGTCTGAGTTTAGCATAAATATTAGGGGTGATGGTTTGCTCTCCCGCCTATGAGCAGGCCCCAGTGTGTGTCCTTTGCCCTTTTCTTCATGCTCCTGTTTCTCTATGGATGACTTGGACTCCGAGATTCAGGCTCTCAGGCCTCTTCTGCTCCTGCTTCTGTGTTATCGTTTGGTCACTAAGTTCTTATAATCTCTCCCCATGTGTTCAATGATCTTCCTGTCCACTTCTCATGCTCCCTTTATTTTCAGCTTTTCCTCACACTGCGGTGGCACGCATCTCATCTTCCCACCTGTAAGCTATGTTCTTGACTTAGTTTGTGTGGCTGGCAGATTAAAATGTCGTTTCTTTGGCATCGCCTTCAAGCCCTTTTACTGCACTCACTTCTCAGCATCCCGTGCTAGCTAAACCCCACCAAGGCTGTCTTTGGCATTCTGTAAGTGGAAGCCCTGAAACTTGAGAATCTTAAACTTTTGAATATTCACCTCCAAAAAATTTTTGCTTTTTTGTCGAGAACCATCATTTCCTACGAATGTGCATTTTTTTACTCTCCTTAACAGTACTGGCAGGTGATTTTTATTCTTCATGAAGAGAGGTGTTTTCAGAGATAATGGAGAAGCCTTACTGTGTGTGTGGCCAAGGGGCGCGGATGCTGTGAGCATCTCACCTGACTGGCTAGCACCTTTCTGCTAAGGCCGGCTTCAGGCACGATTCAGATATGTGCCAAGGCAGAATTGCAAACACAGACATCCCCGGGGCCTGTGGGGGCCCTCGGCAAGTAGGCAGTAATGTGAAGAGGCCGCTGGCTGAGCACTGCTGTATTTGCCTATTTTTCTTCAACATATGGCGTTTTCCTGGTCAGTGCTAGTTCTTTTTCCAGGCTTTGTCCTTTCAGCCTTTTTTGCTAGTGCTTGTGTGTATCTTACTCCACCCCACTTCCCCCATAGCCCCTGAATGCCACCTCCTTTGTGGGTGGGAGAGCCATGTATCACTCACCTTTTGTATGCTGTCACAGAGCTTTGCTTTTGCCAAGTGAGCAATAAAGTCCTTTCAGCGCACTGGGCCCGCACAGATTTGAAGCTTGGACGGGTCTGTGAAGGGTGGTCAGTCCCATCCTTTCTCAGCAGTTTCATTCTCTTCCTCAGCGGTCTGCCTACATGACTTTAGAGCCCGTGAGTCCCCAGCCTATGGGGACCTGTAGTGGTGATGTTCAAAAATGTTAGCATGTGGGCCTCTTACAAGAGTGTTGGAAACTACCCTTTCACCCATTTTTTTTAAATTGGTACCTAATTTAAGTTTAAATAGTTGCAAAAAAGGTCATTTCTGGCCCTATCACTTAATGTGCACTGTCTCCTTCCTGTCTGAGGAAATTTTGTCTTTGCAGATTAAGCCCATAGAATTTATGTAGAATGTGCCAATTTTCAAAATTCTCATCAGAAACAGCTGGGTCTTACAAGCGCGCTTGTGTTTGTGGTGTGGCTGGAACAAGGCCAGGCCCTTGATGGACTTGATCCGATTCTCTTTCTTCATTCTTACTTAGCCTTTTAGAGGAGAGCGCCTTCTGTTTTTTAATTTGGGTTTTTATAGTCCTGGGCTTTGTACCATAGACTTGGAATGGGTGAGAGGTGGGTGTTCTTTCTGACAAGTGGGAGAGGGGTGATAATGAAGGAGGAGGCGGAGCGGCACATTAGCAGACTGGGGGCAGCTTCTGCGTCCAGTTTGGGGAAAGAAAACCGGAGCCCTTTGTCAAACGCTGGAGATTTCAGTGTCCAGAATTCTCTTAAAATTTATTGCCTGCTACCTGGAGGTGGGTGATTTTCATTCAGAAACTATTCTGGGATGTCTGAACCACAAAACTCCTGCACTGTTCTGACTCAGCCCTCAATTTCCTTTTCATTGTCTTCACTAATTCATTTAGTTCCCAAGTCTTTTGGGCTTTATAACCTCCTCAGACTTTCTTTTTCGGTTGTGTCTAATGCAAAACCTCTCATGAGGTTTGCATTCCTCACGCCTTCCTCCTGTGCCTTGATGGGAACACGCCTGGTCATGCTCCTCTTTCTCCGTCACAGCTCACGCTGGGCCTGTCACCTGCGTTGCCGCTTCCCCTCACAAGGACTCCGTGTTTCTTTCGTGCAGTGAGGTGAGATACAGCTTCCTCTCCCTGCTTGCCAGCCACACCGAGATCCTCTGAGCCAGAGTCTGGTGTGGAGACTCCATGGCCGGCAGTTGCTTCTTTGAGTTGCGAAGTCCTTGTCATGTTCCTCCTTCTAGGACAATAGAATTTTACTCTGGGATACCCGCTGCTCCAAGCCAGCGTCGCAGATGGGTGAGTCCGAGAGGCAGTGGCGGGGCCTAGCCTGGAGGAGACTTTCTTGGTCCGAGCCAAAGGCAAATTGCCAGGTGCACAGTCACTGCCATGCAATCTCTTGCCCACCGAGGGCTGGTTCTTGGTGGGTAAATTATTTTACGTTTCCTGGAGGGGTGGAGAGAGAGACCAGTGTTGGCTATTGTCAGACTTTGATTGAAATGCACCTGTGTCTAGCATCTAGAGACTGTGTCCAGCATCTTGAGATGGGTAAATGCAGGTTCTGAGGGTCAAGGCTGAGACAGCCCCGCCTTGGGGTGGAGAAAACCACAGAGCGGTGCTCCTGGGCGTAGAGCGACTGCGTTTGGAAAGCAGAGCCCTGTCCTCTCCTTTGCAGGCTGCAGTGCCTCTGGCTACCTTCCTACCTCCCTGGCTTGGCATCCTCAGCAGAGTGAAGTCTTCGTCTTCGGTGAGGCTACGTGCTGCACCACACGTGGCTTTGGGTAGGGGCAGACACGAGGGAGCTAACTCCTCACACGCCAGACGAGCTGCGCGGCCTCCTCAGCACTCCAGGGCACTGGATGACCGTGCTGTGGTGGGAGGGAGAGGCGGGTGGCCCGCGTGGCTCTAGTTTCGCTTTGGAGCGTGACAACCTTCCCCCAGAGGACCTGATTCTTGATCGTCTGCTCTGGCGCCTGTATTCTGGGTGTGACTAGAACGCTGGGCCACGACGCAAGTGGGTGGCTGTGCGGCATGGACACGCCTGTTCTTGGCTGCCGTGCTGTCACGGAGACGGCGTGGGGCTGTGCCTAGCGCGACGCCGCCGTGGGTAAAGTGGTAACCTCCACTGCGGTTGCTTGATTTAACACCCATCCAGTGGCCTTGCTCAGAGTTGTTAACTTGCCCGACACGCAGGACCAGCTTCCGATTCAGGCCTGGCTGACCCCATCACCAGTTTAGCATGGAAGCCCGAAGCTGCTGCCCTGGCGTGAGCCCCTTTTCTGTTCCCTTCTTGCTCTAGGTGACGAGAACGGGACGGTCTCCCTGGTAGACACCAAGAGTACGAGCTGCGCCCTCAGCGCTGCTGTGCACTCCCAGTGTGTCTCGGGGCTGGTGTTCTCCCCACACAGGTACCTCCCTGGGCGTGCGTGGGGCCCGTGAGGGGTGCTGTGGTGGCAGGGTACCCGCTGACTCGCCCGCTCCTTCCGGCAGACACTGCCTCGCGGAGATTTCAGAGCACCTGAAATCTCCTGGCCATTGTCCTTTTGGGGGTTGTCTGGCTTTCTCTCTGCTAAGGGCTAACATGTGGCCTCATTGCTCCGCACCCAAAGCGATTCATCTTGTGGGCTATGCTGGCCAAGTCCGTGTTGCTGGTTATTGCTGAAGCTGCAGAGCGGGATCATCCGCTGGTTGTCAGGGGGATTGGCAACCCCGACTGTGCCCAGTTTCTCTCATCTTGCTTGGAACTTGCAGTGCGGACTTGAGCGGTAGCTAGACCGCAACTGAGTTTGGCTCCAGCTACTTCTTCAGTTTAGCATGGGGGTCGGGGGCGCCCAGTCAGGGCTTTGTTTTTGGGCCCACGGCCTTCACCTTCCACAGCCTCCCCTTCCTCTTCCAGCACCCCCTTCCTGGCCTCTGTCAGTGAAGACTGCTCGCTTGCCGTGCTGGACTTGGGCCTGGCTGAGGTGTAAGTGTACCTGGAATCCTGCGAGCGGGATCGAAGGGGCGTGGCGGGTGGCTGGAGCCTTTTCTCTCGGAAAATGCATCTTCGCGGGCACCAGGTGATGGGCGCAGGTGCACAGCTGAGCATGTCCTCGTTCCTGGGGCTGACTCAGCCAGCTTCTTCCTGGTGAAGGAGGCGCCGGGTGGTAGCAGGCGCATGTCTGCATTCTAACCCTGTCCTGGAGGGGGACAGCCTGCCCCTTTCATACAAGTGAACACAGCCGGGAGCGCCCCTGCTCTGGGGGGCGAGGCACCTGCAGGGGCTGAATTGGGTGGGATTCCCAGCCCCTGGCCATCTCACTGCCCATCCCCCAGCGCACACTGTCTTTTCTTCACCTGTGAAGAGGGCCATGGGCTGGGTGCCTGGTGATGTCCTCACTGGACGCCAACCGCCATCCCGTGCAGGGCCGTGCGGGCAGAGTGCTTGCCACACACCCCTGGGTGTTGGGTTTTCTGTCTTCTCCACGTCTGCTTCTGCCTCTTGTCTCTTACCATGCCCCATTCTTTCTTTTTCCCTTCTAGGTTTAGAAGCCGAGCCCACAGAGACTTTGTCAGAGACGCGACTTGGTCCCCACTCAATCACTCCCTCCTCACCACAGTGGGCTGGGACCATCAGGTCATCCACCACGTGGTGCCCACGGAACCTCTGCCAGCGCCTGGACCCGCGAGTGGCACCGAGTAGCTTAGATTTAAGACAAAGAACAGCACCCCCACAAGTGCGCACCCCCAGCCTCTCCGCAGGAGAGAGGGAGCACGGGAGCCTCCCCGGTGTTGCTAGACCAGACTGTGAGGTTAATAGGCGCGGCCTCAGCTCGGGGAGGCTGGATTCGGGGGTCCTGTTGTCTGTCCCAGGGAAGAAACACTTGAAAATGGATAGGTCCGTTTTGTGTGTCTAAGTGTCTGTAGATACATAGTTTTTGGTGGGGGGGGGGAGTAAAAAGTCTACCCCACTCTTTCCCCAGGCTCAGCCCCCGGCCCCCCAAAAAAGTTCACCAAAGGGTTTTATGCTTCTGTAGCCGTGCACAAGGAATTGGCTTTGTCTGCGGTCTGGGGTGGGTGTCCCTGGCACGTCGGAAGCAGCTATACCCTCTCAGAGAGACAGGAGCTATTTTATATTTTTATAGAGCTAGTTGTAGTGTGTGCAGTGCTTCCGTTCCCAGAAGTCCGGCTCAGTTCGCCTGGAGGCTGGGCCAGCTTTCCATGCCTCCTCGCCACTGAACTGAGCCAGAAGTCTATTTCCCGGCAGCATAAAGACTGGCTGGGGCCCGTGAGTTGCGGCACACCCCCTCCCCTGCCCGCTTGTTGTCTATGAGATGAATTGTTTTTCTGCCGTCGATGCTATAGAAGACAGTTTGGGGGTGATGGTGAGCCGGCAGGCATTTTATTAAGTTAAACTGACAGCTGACGCAGGCTTACAACGAAAGGTCGGACACCACACCTATCCAGATAGCCGGGGCCCTACCCTCTCCTGCCTCTGGGCCCCTTTGTCTGGATACAGGAAGACGCTTGTTTTTTACGGACGCTGAAGATTTTAAAATGCAACATTGGAGAATCAGACAGACTGACTGGTGAAATAAAAAGTTCAGGCTTTGTTAGTCTGTCTTCAAAATGTGTGTGCTGTGTGTATTGAGGATGAGCATGAGCTACTGCGATGTGGGAATGGGCTCCTTTTACTGTTTGAGGTCAGGCAGGCTTTTTTGGCATTTCATGTCACTGCTTCAGGAATGGATATTTTCCTATTTCCTTTGTTAATACTCTGAAGTCCGTTGACTTGACACATGGAATTCTGCTGATCACTGGCCCACCAAGGTCTGAGAGGCTCACCCTGGGGTTAGTGCTTGGATCCACAAGAAATAGAGTCTTGAGTACAGTTTCAGGTGACACCGGACGAGGGGCTGTCTTCTGAGGTATCTCTCCTGCCCTGTCCAGATCAATTCCCCAATGAACAGTTGTGTGGACGTTACCTGCTGGTGCCAGTCACGTTCAGGCAAAACCACCGAAGTTCTTAACTGCTCTGGACTTGGAGCTGCATTTCTTCTGGGCAGCATTTCACAGCAGGACACTGAGGGAGTGGTGGTGGGCTGGTGGCTGCATTTTATTTTGTAATCCCATTTCAGAGGTCTCTAAACTTTTTTTGTACATCTAGCCCTAAAAGTAAGGCTCTGATTTTTTTAAAATTTAATTTATGCGTACAGAACTGGGGTATAGGCCAGAAATACAGGGGTGGTGAAGGGTTCACCAGAGGCAGAGTGGGGCGAATAATAGGCAGAGTGATGAAGTACACTGCTGAAGGGAGCAATGGGGAGGCGGGAGAGGTCTGCCGCGCCCTGTGGGTCACCTCTAGGTGCTGAAGCAGCTGAGCCAAGTTTGCAGTGCTGCGTCCTAACCGGTTGTGCCATGAGGGACGGCCCAGACTCTGATTTTAAGATTGTTTTTGGAAGTGAATAGTGTGCTTCCCTATTTGTATTTCAGTAGTTGCTTTACTCAGTAACTTTGTATCTATCAACAAAATAGAAAAAGATTGATCCAACATACACTTTCCATGAGCTTTTCAGTAAAACTTGCACTAAAGGTTACTCTGTGTCTGGGAGAATTTCAGGCATCCACGGAGATAATACCCATGGATGAAGCTGAGAAAATTCTATCCATTATTTTCAGCAAAATTATTGCCAGGCTGTGGGTCAAACTGAAAGCATTGTTATAATCATTTGTTCAGGAAACTGGAAAAAGGTTAAGAAAGCTCTAGCCTCAACTTGGAGTTCATTAAAATGTCTCAACCACACCGGCAGCATAAAGAGCATAGTTTTAGAAAAGTGACTGTGAACAGACTGGTTTTTGTGACCCAGACTAGATTCTCCATCAAAAAGGGGCAATTCTGGAATTGTTCTTTGCTGCATTGTCATGGGACCGGTACCATCTAGAAAGACTGAGGAGGGGTTAACGCTTCTTTTCAGTGACATCACATAGTCGGTGATTCCATGGTCCTTTATCTTCTGGTGTGAGGTTGAACGCCTTCATCTTACTCTGGAGACACCTTGTGTCGTGAATGATCTGATCAATACATGTGATAGATCATTAAAAGTCCAAAATATGGTAAATAAAGGCTTTCATCCTTAAACAACATCCTTCTACTTTGTGGTGGGTCCAAACAGCACCAGCGGCTCTCAATCCTTGGGTGAACTTGCAAAGGCCACCCATCTGCCGTGAGCCTGGCTCTGCCTACCTCACCTGGGGAGGCACCTGGCTTGCAAGTATTACAAATTCCGGTTTCGAATTGGAATTCTCCACCGCAGTCATAATGCTCACCTGGGTTCTCAGTGGGAGGGAATCAATGCCTTTCAGATCACACAATGCAGGTTACACAAAAGAACTAAATTGGCTTCAGGTTGTCAGCACATTAACAAGCCGCTTCTCTCACAGAAATCCTCTGAACAGAGTTGAAGCTGGCTGACGTGGGTGAGCCCTTGAAGGCCATTCTCTTAATTCCATTTTGCTCACCTGGGTGGACTATGACCAAGGACCCGGGGACAGGTGTCCAGCACCTGACCCAGCCAAGGGTGTGTGGCCTGTCATGACAAACCAGCCTCATTTGTCTTCGAGTTGCTTTGTTACATTGTGATGACCTGAAAGGAAGTCCCCTAACAGAATTGTCCACGTTGGCCATTTTCAGGGCCCATGCAGTGGCATTAATCTCCATGACCGTATTGTGCACCCACGTCACCATCCATCATCCCAACTGAGACTCTGTGCCCTTTAAACAATGCCTCTTGCCGAGCCTCTGGCTACCCCCAAACCACCTTTTGTCTCTACAAATATGATTACTGTAGGTTGAGCTTAGGAGGTCCTTCTGTGACTGGCTTATCATTTTATTTTTTAGGGAGTTGGCTTGTTCCCCCAAGGGTGGTGGCAGTATTTGAGAGAAATGCAGATTGTTCCAATCTACTGAATCAGAATCTCTAGTTTCCCAAGCTCCCCGGGGACTCATGCACGTTTAAAGTGAGAAGACTTCACTTTGTAATCAATGGGGCTGTTTATTTAACATTTATCCCAGTGTTCTACGGGCTGGAGCAGACACCTGCTCTCTTCTGAGGAAGGAATGAGAGGACACCACCATTAGCGTGATTCCGCAACCAGGGCTTCTTGCCCTCGGCACTATTTCACTATGGCATTTCCCACAGGGATGGGCACTTCCCCGTGGAGGGGCGCTCTCATGTCCTGCAGGATGATGAGCAGCACCCATGGCTTCTGCCCCCTCCATGTGGAAACCACAAGTGTCTATAGACATTGGCAATTAGCCTGGAAGGGTGGGGGCCAATTTTTGCCTAATTCAAAGCCTCTGGCCGTAAAGGAAAAGAAAGGGGTCCTTGCGGGCCCTCCCTGGTGGTGCAGCAGGTTAAAGTGCAGCACTGCAAAGCTGGCCGCAGCCACCTCAACACGAGTTCAATCCCCCACCAGGAAGCTGACCCACAGGGTGCCGCAGACCCCTCCTGTCTCCCGGCTGCTCCCCTCAGCAGTGTACTTCGTCCATCTGCCTGTTCTGCTCCCCACTCTGTCTCTGGGAAATCCTCTAACCACCCCTGAGCCTCTGGCCTGTACCCCAGTATCCATAAATTCTGTATCCATAAATCTTTTTTAAAAAAAAGGGGGGGGAGGTCCTTGACTAGACGTACAAGATAGTTAACTTTCTCCTAATGATCATTCACTCAGTTGGGACTTTTTTGTTGTTACATATAAAGCGGCCACGAACATCCTCATCCTCTGTGCACTGAGCAAATAGTTATGAAGACCAGTATCTACAAATGAAATTGGTAGGTTGTAGGATAAGTGTATTTAGTATTTGTGATATTCTCCAATAAGTGCTAAAAAGACTGAAGAGATAGCCCCAAGTTTACTAATGAGTTATAGTCTTTTTGAAATCACCTCAATTTTCTGACTTAAATTATCTATGAGATACAGATAATGATCTATATTCATTATAGGTAATTAATTTTAAATCATCTTAAAATATCTGAAATTGTGGGTTGTAAAATTATATGATAATATATATATTATATATAGAGTATATATATATAATGTATATTATGAATATAATATACATTAAAAGAAACACCAGTATTAAAAATTTAAATTATCCTCAAATGCAGCCAAAAATTTTATGCCAGATAATGGAAGACGCCATCCCAGTTTATACAGCTTCTTCATTTTAGAGCTGCAGTCACGCTCCGTGAGTTTAGGCCGGTCTTAGCTAGTACTTTTGGTTTTCATAGTATTCAGCCAACTAATTTTGTACAAGTCATAATTCCCCAGTTGATCCACGTGAGCATCACAAAGCTTCGGTCCGGCGTTTAGCTAAAAGCGAAGCACCGTGTGTCCGTGACGTGGCTTCCTCTGGGTCAGGGCTACAAAATGCTTCAGGGCTTTCCTCGGTAATCGGCCAGAGCCATTTGGGAGAGTTCGTGAGAACCGGCTGAGCCCAAGGAGGAGTGTTTGTGAATGTCCGGGTGGTTTCCCATTGTGACAGCAGGAACTCAAGGTGGGGTGTGGGCACAGGGCGACCGGGGCACTGACCCCCACGCAGTCTCCTCACACAGTGGTACACAGTGGCACTCCAACAACAGCCGTTCTGCCCACACAGTCACGGTTGCCAGCCCGTTGGCACGGTGGTTCCTGGGCATCGATTGTCAGGCCTTGACATGCTTCTCAGCAACATCAGTCACTGCTACAGCGGAACAGTTGGGTCTGAGGTGGGGCCAGCTGTGTCCAGTGCAGCAGAACAGGCAGCAGGGGTCTGACCGGGGTGCAGAGGAGGGAGGATCAGACTGGCAGGGAGAGCTGGCCCCGTGATGGGTAGCGGTAGTGGAGGGAGACTGGGTAGGAGGATATCAAACCGGTAGGAAACTTCAGTGATGTGGAATCTGGGTGGGGAGGGGGTGCGAGGTGGCATTTGGTGGGCTCAGAGGAGGCTCAGTAGTGGAGAGAAGCAGACATTTCACATCAAGAGGGCTTAGGGGCCCTCCCTGGTGGCGCCAGGGGTTAAAGCCCAGCACTATGAAGCTGTCCGCAGCCACTGTAGCACGAGTTTGATCCCCAGCCAGGGAGTGACCCACAGGGCACAGCAGACCTCTCCCGTCTCCCCACTGCTCCTCTCGGCAGTGTATTTCAGTCAGTCGGCCTGTTCTGCTCCCCCTCTGTCTCTGGTGAATCCTCTCACTGCCTTGAGCCTCTGGCCTGTTCCCCAGTTCATGCATGCATACATAAATCAATCTTTAAAAAAAAAGAGGGCTTAGAAGACCGCAAGTAAGACCCCAGGCGTCTGGCCAGACTGAGCCAGGACCCAGCCCTAGGAACGAGGCATGGTGCCGAGCCGTAGAGAAATCAGAGCGGAGGCCTAGCAGTGAGAACAGGGGCACACGGCTGGGAGCTGGGGAACGTGGGAATGCAGGGCAAGGGCGTCAGAGGCGGGCATCCTGGCAGGGTGAGGCGGGCATCCTGGCAGGGCGAGGCGGGCATCCTGGCAGGGCCATCTAACCAGTGGCACTGGTGCTTGCCAAGGCTGTGAGGAGCCATCGCTCATCTGCCCTGTCCCTTGTTACCTTGCCTTCTGGTCAGCACCTTGGTGACACGTGGGTCAGGGGAGCACTCAGTCGCCCAGAGATGGAGGCGTAGGGTGGGATGCAGAGTATTTCATTTCTGGTCCTCCACAACTGAGAGCCAGACTGACTCCTGAGAGCCCACCATGGTCTGGGAAGAAAACCGACACATCCTAAAAGCCTCTGCTTACAGACCAGTTCATCCTTCCTCTTGGTGCATTTTTGATGAAACTGGCTCCCTGAGACATTCGCCTGCTGGTGCTGCCTGCCTGGCGGGCATTAGCGTTTGAGGTTGAGGGCCTCGTATTACCCACAAGGCTAGCAATCTTTCATACATTCTCTAATCCCTCCACTCCCCGTTGAGATCAGTACCGGCTGTTATGTCCATTTGACACGTGCAGAACTGACGGTCAGCGTTGTGTGAGCCTGGACGAGAGAATTCTAGTGGGCAGCCCTGAGATTCAAACCTTGCCTGAGCCCAAGGCCGGGCTTCAAACGCCATGCCACACCACGACCCTCGTCAGTAACCTCACACAAAGAAGCTCTGCAACCGGAGAGTTTCTTCCTCCTGTTCCCTTGCGTGGCTAAGCCCAAGAAGAGAGGCTGACCCTGCTTTGCCCTCGCCGAGCACAGGGGGTACCCACTCTGTGCCAGGTCGGGTGGAGCTGTTCCTGTGTTGGCTCCAACTAATGAAAGAAGAGGGCCAGCGAGGCTGAGGTTACTGTGACTTTGGGGCAGCTGTGTCATTTATCACTGAAGGTGGTTTGTGTGCATGCAGCGGGATCACGTCCGTGCCGCCTCAGGGAGCCTGGTGAAGCTCTTATAAAGCGGCTCCAGCTCTCACCTTGCATCCGCCAGACCGTGGAGATGGGGAAGTTGTTGCTGTGGGTCGGTGAGTCTGGCAGGTGTAGTTCCCTCCACGCCACGTCACGTGGCAGCTTCCAGGCTTCCTTAGTGGGTCGCCTCTCCAGTGCTGGAGAAATCCCCAGGGGTGCGGTGGCTGGCGGGGTGGGGGATGTAGAGGTGGACAGGACATAAGGAAGGGTCAGAGGGACCCTGGGAGGAGCCATCAGAACTGTGATTCTCAAACCTTGCCGCACAGAGAACATTGTAATACCTGCCAGCTCCCGCTTTGGGGTAATTTGATCAGAGGCCAGGGCTGAGAAGCCCTGGCTGGGAGCTTTTGCTGGGACTTGCCAAAGCGGTTGCTGCCCCTGGACAAGCCTGTGGTGTTTGTGTTAGAAGGGAAGGTGCTGAGGTTGGTCTGGCTGCCCCGGCTGGACTTGGGGAAGGGGAAACTAGGGAGATGGGTGTCTCCAGTTGTACAGCTACGTCTGGCGAGTCTGTAGTTTCTGGGGAAGCTTGCAACCGGTGTGTTGGGGGCCACTTGGGGCGTAGCTGTGACTCTGTGTGAGATTCCTTTCTTCCTTTTCTGCAGGGTTGCTCCTTTTCCTGGAACACCACGAGGGTAAGGGACTTCTCTTCCTCTCCAGAGCTAGCAGCAGTTCTGGCTTTAAAGGGCTTGGCCACCGGGCCTGGCCCGGCCATCAGGATGCACGGTCCAGGCTGTTGAGCAGGGTACATGGTCACCTGTGTGCCGGGAAGCAGTTTCAGGGCCCCTCTGACCGAGACATCATAGGACATTCATTTCTCCCTGGGCGGGATGGGACCACGGTGTAGATTGCAGAGCGGGGTGGGGGTGTTAGGTGGCCGGGCCCCTCGGGCTGTGTTCACACGGCTCTGCGGAACTCTGCTTCCCGTCCTTGGTCTCTGCTGAGTCCTGTGCTCTCTCCACCAGGGGCTGCCCTCAAACTGGTGTGTTATTTCAACAAATGGGCACATAGTCGCTCCGGCCCAGCCTCCGTCTCGCCCCGTGACCTGGACCCTTCTCTCTGCACCCACCTGATATTTACCTTTGCCTCAATGAACAACAACCAGATCATTGCTATGGATCGCTTGGACCAGAAACTTCTCTATCCAGAGTTCAACAAGCTCAAGGAGAGGTGTGTTTGTGTGGGATGTGGGCTCACCCCCGCAGGTCTCATTGACAGAAGGAAATCCAGCCTCTGGATTTCCTCATCAGCCCAGGTCCTTGCTTCCTCTCATGGGCACCCCAGACTTGGAGTTCCCTGCTGCTAAACACGCCGGGCTCTTTCTTCCTCTTTGTCTTTGGGTTGCTGCTGCCTCTGCCTGGACTGTCCTGTCTTCCCTGAGACCTCCAGCCTAGCGGTGAGACGGCATGACCGGGTGTGGGCACAATGTCTCCAGTCAGCAGCGCTAGTATTTCCCTCAGCAGCTGGCACTGCAAACCCCACCCTGGCAGCCCTGGAGGGAAGAGTCCGTGTCTCCCACAGCTCCGTATGCGGAGGACTAGGGCATGCTTGGCATAGAGCAGAGCCCGGAAGCGCTCGCTCAGGCCCTCTCCTCCTGGACTCCTGGCTTCGTTCCCGTCCAAAGAGGAGTGTCACCAAGTCCATGGTTATATGAGGGCTGGGGAGTGGGGAGCTCCCTGGGTGCAGGGAGCGAGTCTGTCTTGTGAACTCTTGCATCTCCAGCACCTAAGTAGTCGATGGAACATAGTAATTGCTCAGTAAATGCTGAATGAGAGCGTGAGCAAAGAGGCGCTGTAACGATGTCCTTTTCCTTTTCACTGGGACAGCAAAGGGGTGTGGGAGTGTTTGGTGGATTTTGGACCACCTGAGCGTTCCTGGGCTGCGATGACTGAGGGTGGGTGGCCCGGCCTGTCCCTCCCCTTCCTCTCCTTCCTCTACCTGCCTTCCCCCTTCACTTCCCCTACTTTCCATTGCTCCCCAAATGAATGAAGCAAAGAAGGGTGACGGCAGCCGTCCCTGGACTGAGCACCCCTCTTATCACCCTCTTCCCCTCGTTACAGGAACAGGAAGCTGAAGACACTGTTGTCCATCGGGGGGTGGGAATTCGGCACACTCAGGTGAGACTTGGCCAGCACCACCTTCTCTCTGGGGCAGGCTGGGGCTGAGGGGGAGAGCAACAGGCAGCAAGAAGTGAGGACAGGGGTGTGAGCCCGGCCATGTGGGAGCAGTGGACACTTCCAGAGTCCTGACGTGGGTGGGCTCAGATGCCCCTTGGCCTTCTCTCCATGACCAGTGGGCAGAGACAGGGACCATCAGGCACGCCGTGGGGAAGGGGCGTCAGAAGTCAGGACACCTGCTCACAGATGTCCCTGAATCCTTGCTAAGGGGTGGGGCCTTTCTCTCAGGGCACAGGGGGAGACTTGTGTGGGACCGGAGGAGGAACCTAGACCTCCCGGGGTCTGAGTTTGCTCACTCAGCCAAGATACCACCTGTTGTCTGGGTGGAAAGGCGGTGACCTGAGCACGTGATGAGCTTGGCACCTAGAACATCAGGTCCCACAAGGGGCCCCTGCTCTTGCTGGCACGAGGTGACATGGAGATACAGGCCACCTTCTGTATCCCCTTTTGTGGCTGAGGTCGGAGGCACCTGCCTTCTTACGTGGACCGGCGAGCTGCAGGAGAGGGAGGCCTGGTGGCCCGGCACACACGGTGCATCCTCAGTGTGGTGGGCAGCGGGGGAGGGCTTGGGCTAGGCGAACCAGGCTCTGCCCAAGTGCAGGTTTTGCTTGTCCCTCTGTGGCCGCGCCTGGACATCCCAGGTGTGTGAGATGCTTTCCACACCCTGGGTCACAGTAGTGGATTGTATCCCAGATTTGTCGAAAACAGAAAGCAGGAGTGAGAGGCATTAAGGAGCTTGCGTGTTCCTCAGAGATCACCTGCAAGGAGGCGGCCAGCAGACGCCAGCTGGTGGCCAGGACTCCCTCACTCTAGCCAGTTAACTTTCTAATGAGGGCACCCAGGATTAGCCCAGAACAGCTTAGCCTTCAACCCCAGTAAGTCAGAATTTTTCCAGTAGCATCTTCACTATAAAAGAGAAATCAAACCAAAGCAGAAAAAATTAAGTCCATGAAGGAAAGAGCAAAGAGAAGGGGCCCCTAGTCACGCCACGGGTTATGGGTCCCAGGTCCAACTTAGCTCATAGATCTTTCTGGAAATGCTGGTCCTGGAATTGAGTCCCCACAGCCCTCAGCAATGGAGTCAGAGAAAGAATGTCCAGGCAAGGCTAGGCCAGTAGAGCTGGGCGCTTAGCTGTGAGCAAACAGCACAGAGAGGCAAAGCCCCCGACTGGGGGGCACCTCAGGCTTTGCAGACAGAACACTCTGGAGCTGTCTCTGCCCCGGGCTGCCTGCCTGTTTTCAGCTCCTCCCTGCTGCCTGAGTCCCACGCCTGGGAATTTATCTCTAGCACTTGGAGGGTGTCTAGGAGGCTGACGAATGTCGAAGGCCTGCACTCCTGCCCACCCCCCCGGTCCAGGCCTGGGAGGAGGGCCCAGTCCTGTGGACAGCCGTCCTCAGAGGAGCCCAGTCTCCCTGCAGGTTCACCACCATGCTGGCCACGACAGCCAAGAGGAAGACGTTCATCAATTCAGTGATACCCTTCCTAAGGACACACGGCTTCGACGGCCTGGACCTCTTCTTCCTGTACCCTGGACAGAGGGGCAGCCCCGAGCACGACCGGTGGAATTTCCTCTCCTTGATTGAAGTAGGGCCCGTGTGGCAGGTGTAAAATGCAGAGATGATGCTTCTTTTATCACACCTGGCCTTGGGGCCTAGGAGGCGCATGGAACGGGGAGCAGGGGTCTGAGAGCAGAACAGAACATTCTTTTACTTGCAGCATCTCGAGGAGCTGGGCGCGAGAGCTGCTGAGCAGGGTCCCCGCGCCTCCAGGTCCACCCCAGCCCCCCATGCGCCCCAAGTGCTGCCCTCTCTACGCAGCTTCTGGGGCTTGCTCAGGCAGTCAGTCTGAACCCCGTGCTCTGACCTGGCTGCTACCCCACTTCTGAGTCACTTGCCACACTGGCTCACACCTCTGCCCCCAACCTGTGGACAGGGCCTGCGTGTCTCTAGACAACCCCCCCACCTCTGTGTGCCCCACCCCTCGCTTGTCTCCAGACCCCTAAGTGGGGCGCTGGACCTAAGGGCTCCAGGCTGATGCCTCCCCTGATTCTGTTCTGTCTGGTTGTCCTGGCTTTCCAGGAGCTCCTGTTTGCCTTCCGGGAGGAGGCGCATCTCACCAGGCGCCCAAGGCTCCTGCTGTCTGCTGCTGTCTCGGGGAGCCCACACATCATCCAAAGAGCTTATGATGTGCGCCTTCTCGGGATGTGAGTAGGGCAGGACAGCAGAGGCTGCCCAGGCCCCTTCTGCACTCTCCACGCGCCCCCCTGGGGCAATGCCAGTTTAGGGGGTGGGTGCAGGACCCGTTCATTATACCAGGGCTCTCCTTGGGAGGCCAGAGGGAGGCAATGTCGTCCCAGCACCCACAACACCATCACTGCATGCCCTTTGCTGGGTCTCACGGGCCTGACCTGGCCTGGCCATGCTCAGCTGCAGACACACTGTGTGACCGGTGCCTGGTGTCACAGTGGATGAATTAGCAGCCGCAGAAACAGAGCTAGCAACACCTAGTCAGGCCCAGCTTTCAGAGCACAGGTCTCCATGCAAAAGCCACAGAGGAGACAAGAAACAGCTCGGAGCTCTGGACACATTTGCTTGAATCTCAGATCAAGAGCTTACAGAGGAGAAAACTGAGGGACCAGAGAGAGGCGGGGGTCTCTGTTCTCTGTGTGGGGCCACACTGGGAAGAGAGGTATCATGCAGGAGGAAAGGGGAGCAACCCTGGGTCACGGGGCTCGCTGATGCCGGTTTCACAGTCAGGCGGGACTGGGGAAGTCTGGCCTCCCCCCAACGGGATGACCTTAGGCATCTCAGCCAACCTGAGCTTCTGCTTTAAGGTGCAGGTAGTTACAGTACTTGGGGCTTTGGCAGGATGAAAGCTGAGTCCGATAATCCATATAAACCTGCACACCTGTAGCTGACTCAGCTGCACCTCCTTGTTATGAGAGCTTTCTGGAAGAGGTTTCTGTGGTCCGCTGAATGGCAGAAAGACAAAGGCTCTTTTCCTGGTGCAGGAGGTAGCTGCTTTGCTCGGGACTATATCTGCAGCTTCTGCAGGCCCTGGTGGGGGTCTGGGTGCCTGGGCTCTTGTCTGCGCCCACCCCCGGGCCCCCCTGGATGGGGTGGGCCCCTAACTGCCGGTGGCAGCATCTCAGGCAGAGGGCAGCGGTGCGGGCAGCCCTGCACAGCTGTTAGTGAGCACCGTGAGAATGCGGCCTGAAATCCGACGGCCCCGTCTTCCCCTCCAGGCTCCTGGATTTCATCAATGTCTTGTCTTATGACTTCCATGGAAGCTGGGAGAAGTTCACAGGACACAACAGCCCCCTGTTCTCTTCTCCTGAAGACCACAAATCTTCGGTAAGAGGAAGCTCTCTGGGGGCCCAAACATCAGCTCCTGAGTCCTGGTCAATAACTCTTGGTGATGAGGAAGAGTTTGTGTCCTTTCTACCTGCAGGCCTATGCCATGAACTACTGGCTAAAGCTCGGGGCCCCACCACGGAAGCTCATCATGGGGCTCCCTGCCTACGGACGTACCTTTCTCCTCTCCAAAGCCTCTGAGAATGGACTTCAGGCCGCCGCTGCGGGGCCAGGGTCCCCAGGGAAGTACACCAACAGGGCTGGCTTCCTGGCTTACTTTGAGGTGACGGGCGTAGGACCTTCGGCTGCTTAGCCCCGCTGGGACTCCCCTCTGCAAGGGCTGGCACAAAGACTAGCGTCGGGGTAGTTTATCGGGGCAGGGGAGCTCCTCTATCTGGGGTTTCCTTTTCCTCCCGTGAAGTTCTTTGAGGCTTTGGTAAGGGATGAGGGGCTGGGGAGGGGGAGTGTGAATGGAGAGGGATGGGTATTTCACCTCTTAAAAGAACTGTAAATGTTTACAAGTCATCCTGATGTACCATATGGGCTATAAGGCACGAATGTTTGCAACGCGTGTAATGTCTAACATTTGCAAAAGTAAAAGAATCGGAAAACCTTCTCTCCCCAGCCCCAACTACTCTGCACCCAGCTTCAACCCCACCCCCACCTACCCACCTACAGTGGGTATCACTGACCATTTACAGTCAGTCTTGTTTCATCTTTGCTCCCTGGTGCCCTCCCACTACTAGATTATGTTGAAGCAGTTGCCAAAGAGCCTCTGCTACTGATCGTTTCTTCTGCACCCAGTGCCCCGCCCTTAAAGCCCAACTCCACACAGCTTGCTCTGGAGTGGAGGAGAGAGCTGGACCCAAGGCAATGTAGACTCAAGAGAAGACAGACAGAGGCAGAGCAGCGATAGGGCTCTCAAAGGTCTTCTAGAACAGGTAGATACTGAGCAGAGCTTCAAAGCCAGGATGAATCCTGATGGGCCAGAACAAGATGGGAAGGGCGTCCCAGGCAGGTGACGGCAGGTGACAAGCTGAGAAGGGCATCCCAGGCAGGTGACGGCAGGTGACAAGCTGAGAAGGGCATCCCAGGCAGGTGACAGCAGGTGACAAGCTGAGAAGGGCATCCAGGCAGGTGACGGC